TTTTTTTTTTTTTTTTTTATACCTGGGATTGAACTCAGGATCTTGCGCTTTCAAGGCAGGCAGCGGAACCACTGAGCTAAACCCTGGCCCACTCTAAATATTTTGAAAGAAACACAAATACTAATTTCCCAGAGGAGCACTTACTGGGTATGTCTAATTTAAAAGCCAGTGCTGCACTGGGGATGTAGCTCAATAGTAGATCACACGTGCAGCAGGCAGGAGGCTATGGATTTGATGCCCAGCATGACAGAGATTAGAGATGAGATATTAGACACAGAGATAGAAAGCGATAGAGGTAGGGGCGGTTAACAGTCAAAAGCAGGATTAAGAAGGGGGGAAAGCAAAACAAGAAGTTTAATCTATAACTGACCATTAAACATCAACTGACATAGCTCAGTACTTTGGACCAGCCAAAAAGCAGATGCTTTTGAATTCTGGGCGTGGTGTTGCATGCCTGCAAACCCAGAACTTGGGAGGCTGAGGCAGGAGGATCTCCAAGAGTTCAAGGCCAGTCTGGGCTACCCGAGTTCAAGGCCAGCTTGAACTACATACAAAGCGAGATCCTATCTCCAAAAAAAAGATGCTTTTGATATTACAGAATGACAACAACAAATCACTATGGAGAGTTCTAAGGCTGAACAGCAGATCCTCCCCATGCGAAACTGCTGCATGTTTTTACAGCAGCCCTAGTATTGAATGAAGGCCACAACTCCATTAATAATTACTAAGCCTCGGATGTTTAGTAATTTTTACTTATTCAGTTAGTTTTTTCCTGGATGGTAACAATTTTTCCTAGCAGATTACAGATAGGGGAAAAAAACCTTATCTATTTGTGAAGATCATAATCAATCTAAAACAATTCAAAACACACACACAGGGCTGGCAGAGTGCTTGCCTAACATGTGTAAAACCCTTGATTCTATCTCCAGCACAAAACCAAACCGAAACAAAAAACAAACTCCACATATACACACAAAGAAAAATAAAAGTAAATTTAAATGCAAAAATATGCAACAAATTTGAAATGGAAACTATAGGAGAGTGAAATTTAACTACTCAAAGGCAAAAAGAAAATGTGAAGAAAGGGCTCCCCCAAGAATAGAAAGCCCAAGGATAAAGTCACATGGTTCTTCCGCTTCCTTTCCTAATTCATTGAATCTTAAAGCAGGACAAAGTAGGCATATTTACTTGAAGCGAACAGCCACACTGGCCGAGAGGTGAGTATCAGAGCATGTATGAGAAGTAGCCATCCGTGTGCAGGGAGTGGCCTGTTCTGGAGGCTGCAGAACCTCCATGTGGTGAGGAAGGTGCATGGGGTGTAGGGTCTGCTTGGGGTACAAAGCCCAGGAGGCATGTGTGGAAGAGGCATGGAGAGGGAGCCCAGCACGTAATGTCAGAACCACAGCAGGGGAAGAGGTTGTCCCTGGTGTGAGAACCACAGTCCAAGATGTCAGGAGAGTAGAACAAGGCAGTCGCCATGGACAGGTAGAGTACTGAGAGCACTCTTGATGTAACACAGACAGTCAGAGCCCAAGCAGGGGGAACCTCTGTCAGTGGATGGGATGGGACCCATGTGGGGCTCAAGCAAGCAGAGTAAAATACCAAGGGGGATTTCTGAGCAGAGTAAAGAGGGACACCATGCAGAAGGGTAGCCAAGGTAAAGTATCAGAGCCCAAGAGGGGTGAGAAAGGTATATACACAGAGGACGGGGTAGCAGCAGAGATAAGAGATTGGCTACTAATGGGGGATTGTTCAAATCAATAAATAAAAATTAAAATAACAGAAGGCATCCTCTTGGAGAAAAGAAATAGAAATATGTAAAGGGGAAAAACCTAGAATGAACCATATTATATTGCACTGGAATTGAGAGTATCAGTGTGAGTTTATGATTTTCACTATGTATTGAGACAGAACAAAATGTGTGTGATGAGTTACATGTGCGTGCATTTACACCCACACCCACCCACACACACATTCACACAAACCCTAGCTTCCACTAAGGCAGCCTAAAAGCTCTAACACCGCATATCTGTTGTCTGCTCTGCCAGTGAATAGAAAGACAAAATCACTTCATTCTCAAGTTCCAGAACAGAGACAGGAGGGAAAGAGAAGGCATAACTGATACGTCTCTCAGTGCAGTAGGAATCAACAGCAATTATCATCAGGTAAAGCGTCCCAACCATAAGAGCCTAAGGCAAGAGAATGCCAGTTCCTTTCAACTATTTCACAGAAGTGACCTTCGATTCTAATCCCAACTTAAAAGCTAAATAAAAGCACTATTTTTGTGATCAAGAAACAGCTTGATCCACTGAATATTAGTGTAATAAGCCTACTAAAAGGAGACACTCAGGCTCCTACCCTTAACTCTATCCCTGACACTCAACTTCAGATGCCTTGCCAGTTCTCTGATCTTTGCTCTTAGTTACTTTTCTCTCATGGCTGAGACAAAACACCCAAGGCCCAAAGTAAAAAGGGGGAAAGGTTTATTTAGCTCACAGTTTCTGGGGTTTCAGACCATAATCAGCTAGCTCCAAGGCAGGGTGGCATGGCAGACAGGCATTGCAGAGGAGAAACAATTCATGGTGGGCCAAAGGTGGCAAAGCAAGCAAGAGACAAGACAAATCTCTTTCTGTGCCCCATACTGTATCCAGTCTACCAGGATTAGGGTGGTGCCAAACCAATCAGTAGAATCACCCAACCTTAATCCCATCACCCTTAATTCTACCATGGTACTACAAATCAGTCACACACTCTAGATCCAGCCACCTCTGACAATGCCCCACCTATGACTACATGAGGGGACATCTAGACAAGACAGAATAGCTCTCAAGCTCAGTCTTGGTGTAAAAGTATCACTTCAAAATAACTGATGCACATTTAAACTTTCATTCACACATACAAAGTGTAAGGTCTACATACAAAATAGTGAATATAAAATATTAATCCAATCACTAGTTATTAAATGTTTGACATAACTACTTTGGAAATTTTTTTCAAGGTATACTTTTCTCAACTCTTGAGAAAGAATAACTAAAAAATAACCTGTGCTACTTTGAAAAAATAATATGCAATTTTTACTCAGGAGAAGAGACACATACTAATCAAACGTGTTGATGGGGGAAAATATTACCACCAAAACACAAAAACTGGTTTAAAAAGGTATAAACCCATTCCTAGAAATTTTTAAATGGTAATTTAATTCTATATTAATTTATACCCATTCAAATGAAGAAGTACAAATGGCAAATAAATATATGAAAAAGTGTTCAACATCACTGGTCACCTGATGCAAACTAAAACAACACTGAGATTTCATCTCACTACAGAAAGAAAGGCTGCTATCAAGTAATCAACCAAGGGCTGGGGATTTATCTCAGTGGTTTTGCCTGCCTTCCTCACAAGCACAAGGACCCGAGTTCAATCACCTGTACCAGAAAAAAAAAAAATGCTGGTGTGACTGTGGGGAAAAAGGAACCCTTCTCCACTGCTGATAGGAGTGTAGACTAGTACAACCACTGTGGAAATCAGTGTGGAGGCTCCTCAAAAAATTAGGATTAGCGATCCTATTTGACCTAGCTATTCCCATTCTGGGTATCTTCCTGAAAGCATCATAACACAACAAAATATGTACACCTGTGTTTATAGTAGCACGGTTTATAATAGCTAAATCTTGTAAACAGCCCAAATGCCCATCAATCAATGAATGCATAAAAAAAGCTGTGGTTCCTCATACAATGGAATACTACTCAGCCATAAAGAAAGATATGCTTGAGACATTTATTGGTAAACGGATGCACCTTGAGATTATATTCTTAAGTGAAATAAATCAGACACTCGTGTAAACATTGCACTGTCTCTCTGGTGTGAGAAACTGAAAGGGTAAATAACAACCAAACTATTTAATGATAAAGTGAAATAGAAAGAAATTATTTAAAAGGAAAGGGAAACAAGGAAGGTGGGAGGGGGAAAGGGAAAAGAAAAAACAAGAAGGAAAAACATGAAAACAAAGATTTTGTAAATAAGGAGGGGAGAAAGGCTGAATGGAGGGGAGAGAATTGGGAAAAAAGAGGAACCAATCATGTAGAGGTACAAGATCCCAACAATGAATGTAACTGTACTGTAACCCTAAAATGTACCAATAAACTCAATTAAAGCTGGAAAAAAAAAAAAAAGAGGAACCAAGATATACCATGTACAGGTACAAATTCCCTTAGATAAATGTAATTATTATGTACATTTAAATTACACAAATATAATTAATAAAAATAAATAAATTTGTGCCATTCCTCAAATTATCCCTTAATAAATCCAAAATTACAATACCATTATCCTCACAACAAAACAAAACACAATTTATTTTGACCACGTAAAACCCAAACCCTCAAAATTTCCTGCTAAAGTTCATAAAATGGATGAGTCATTATTGGGGGGTGTGGGCGTCTCCCCGTCTATGTAGTTCACATTGGCCCTGAACTCGTGAGCTCAGGCTGGACTTGAACTTGCAGTGATCCTCTGGCCTCAGCCTTCCAGGTGCTGCCACTGATCTTCTACCAAGTAAAGTATTTTCATCCAACTTTTCTCCACATCATCCATAAGAACACTCATTTTCTAAATAAATAAACAAGACAAAGCAAGAGAGAAAAGGTAGTTTTGTTTTTTTTTTTACCTGAAAAGATCCACCTCATGAACAGTGGGTAAAATAACAGATATGTGTGTATTTGCCTAAAAGATAAAAAGGAAAATAACAGAGACAATATCATTAAAATTTGCAGAAACTGATTTTTAAAATATGTCTATCTCATTCATGATCAATAAGCCAGGTTTCCCTGTCTACCTTTTTAAGATTCATTTCCTCAGAGAGCAGCCAGAAAGAGAATGGGTCTTACTAATCTCCCATAATACAGCACAAGACAGAAAAAAGCACAGACACCATGGATAAAGAAGTATCCAGTAGCTAGATGTTAGTTTAGTTCACAACTGTATGAAACACTACCATTAAAACTAGTTGATATCTGTAACAGGAAAAAAAAAATCAGTCTTCTTCCTGCTCTCCATTTTTATTCAATTCAAAGAACAAAGGGAGTGCTAACATACCAGATAAAACATTTCAAATGAAAAATTCAACCCCACCCATGAACAGATGTTGTTTTCAGAGAAAGGAAAAGGATCATAACTAAAGAATCCTTTTGAAAGAGTCTCCTAAAATCAGAAGTCTTCTGGCTACTCTTCTAAGATAAGAGATTTTACCACAATTAAACCTCATTGAAAAAACTTTCCCCTTGTCCTAACAATTACAGTATAAATTCTGAGTTCTCCAGTGTCTATTGGAGAAGTAACAAGAAACAAGAAAAAGTTTATTATCAATTCACTGGAAAATTACTTAACTGAGTATTTCAGTAATATCCAGAAATATATGATAAACTCAAGAAACCACATTTGCTAGTCTTAAAGTTCTGTGAACATTTTATCATGTTCCATACATTACCTGTTGAGTTAGCTGTGTTATTTGAGTAGTCCCAGGCTTGTCATAGCATGTGGGAATACGTACCTTAAAAAGATAAGAAATTATCTTTGACTATAAACGAATGAGGGATTGGAAGTGCCCTATTCTGCTGCTATAAAGGCATACTCAGCAATGCCTAAAAAGGTATTAAAAATCTTTATATCAGTTTAGCCTGGTGTGGTGATGCATGCCTATAATCTAGCAGTAGGGAGGCTGAGACAGGAGGGTCTCCGATGAGTTCAAGGCTAGTCTGGCTACATGGTGAATTCAAGGCCAGTCTGAACTACATAGTGAGACCATGTCTAAAATAAACAAAACAAGGCCTGGGTTCAGTGCTTCTACCACTTGCCTCACAAGCGCAAGGACCCGAGTTCAATCCCTGGTACCAAAATAAATAAATAAAATAAAATAAACAACAAACAACAAACAAAAGTTCATCAAATTAAAAACTAAGGCTATATTTACTTTTAGTTACAGCCTAAAAGTGCAAGGTCTCCATATTCACAAACACAGCAAAATCACTAACCTACTGAGAAGCAAACATGCCAAAAGACAGAAAAAGGACATTAATATCAAAGTTTCCTGTTTATTGTTCTAATCTTTGCTTCATTAATATACACACACCCAAACACAAACTCAAACTTGCCAAATTTTTGCCACAGGAAACAAAGAGCACTTTCAACCAAGAGCTATCAGTATAACTTTTGATGATTTTCCAGGGAAAAAATAGAACATACAAAAAAAAAAAAAAAAAAGAAAAACTTTTGAGGATTTTTCAGGGAAAAAAAAAAAAAAAAAAAAAAAAAAAAAAAAAAGAGCAAATCTAAAGAGAGAACACTGTTAAAAATAAGTCCAACTTGAGAGTGAACTGCAAAGTACTTAAAGTACTCTTACAAGGTCTGACAGTAAAATGCTACTATATTTTTTAAACAGCAACAACCCACAAAATCACCCTAACAGAGAATGGCCTGGGAAGACTGTTTATTTATGACTGAGAACCATAGGCTTTCCTAATTTCTCTGAATTTTTAGTAATTTAAACTTAATTTCTCAGGTGATCATTCTCTGCTACTAACCCAGCCCTGGAGGCACTGGTGCGGGCCAGGAGTGGCAGAATTCTAGGAGGGAGCATCTACCTTCACGCACATTACAAGGAGAGTCACTCCTGTGCAAACAGAATGCAATGGGACCGCAGGCATGGAGCTATGTTACCGCTAACCGTAGGAAGCAGGAGGAGTTGCTATCTCTAATACCTCATACCTAGTCTCAAAATAAACAAACAAACAAACAAAAACCAAAAAACCCAAATGAATAAAAAGAAAATAAAATGACACAAATGAGACAGCTATAAGCCAGTGCTGACAAACTTTTAGAGTTAGTGCCCAAACTGCAACCCAAAACCCACTTACTTATCACAAATAGCCAACACTACAATTAAATCTGAATACTGAGGTTTTAGTTTAGAAAAAACAACTCACACATTAACATCTTTTGTCGTAAATGAAAAACACAACAAGCATGCCATAGATTTGCCACCATTGCTACAGGCTATTTATTACCTTCATCACCACTCCCATGATCGGTAGGTGCAATGTTTTCCCTGGCACTGGAGCAGGCCATCTATCAACATCATTACATGCTGAAAAATATAACAAAAGATTTTCTTAGTATAAGTAAAAATATTAAAGTATTAGCATCAGGGATGTAGCTGAGGGGCACCATGCCTGCCTAGCAAGTGCAAGTTCCTGAGTTTGATCCCTGGTGCAAAAAAAAAAATTAAAGTATTAAAATGGGACATTAGAAATTAGAACTCTACTTTCTGTGAAGCAGAATAGAAGGTAAAAGAAAAGTAATACTGTATGAAAACATCTTGTATTTCATTCAGAAAAACACATGTTCTAGGTAGGATATAAATTGGTTAATACTTTTTTTTCTTAGCAGTAATGAAAATCGAACCCAGTGACTCACAGATGTTAAGCAAGCACTCTAACCACCAAGCTATACCCCCACCCTTCTTTGTTGTTTGTTTTGTTGTGCTTTTTTGAGACAGGTTCTCACCAAGTTGCCCAGCCTATCCTCCAACTTACAGTCCTCCTGCCTTAGCCTCCCAAGTCATCAGCAGTAGGTTTACAAGGATGTGCCACGATGCATGGCAATAAAATTTTTTGGAAGTGACAAATTAATAGGTTTTTAGAGAATCTTTCTATTTATTCATTATTACTAAAACTACTAACAAATGAAAAGCCTGCTGTGGCAGCACAGTCCTGTATCCCCGCACTTCAAGGCTGAGGCAGGAGGATCACTGCTAGTTAGAGGCCAGCGTGGGTACACAGTGAGTTCAAGGTTAGCCTAAAGTGAGGCTCTGTCTCAAAACAAACCACAATTAATTAATCAATAAATTATATTAGCTACAAATGCACATCACCTGGTAGGGGCCTTCTAGTATCAATTAGTGATTTCAATTCAATGAGAACTGAGAACTGTGAACTCACCATTCATTCATTGCTATCCTAATAAATGGACACCACCTATGTTGTTAAGAGTTATTACCTCTAACAACAGATACTATTTTCGGTGTTTGTAGGAAAAGATGTATTGCTTTCCCTCATATGTCCCTTAAATTATTCTCCAACTCTTTAAAGGTCAATTTCATTTTCATCATGCATTTTCAGTAAAAGTTTAAAGATTTCATAAAGGTATATAATTCATACAATGTTTAACTTACCTGCTTCCAAATAAGGTTCATTCTTCTCAAAATACTCTGGTGCTATCTGTTTCAGCACAGTGTGAAAAAAATGAATATAAGGTAGTTTGCTGATCAAAACCAATGACTGGGGGGAAAAAAAGAAATAATTTTAAAAATTTGTCTAATGATTATAATTTAAGTCTGCCATTCACATCTTGCAAGAGCAATATTAACTAAATTCAGCAAAAAGTGTGGATTTTGAAAGAAAAAGGCTTTTACAAAACCATAGCTGTAGCATATAAAATTTTAACCTTATTATCATGCTCTAAGACTATTAGGACATATTCACAGAAGTTTCTGATCGTCAAGAAAAAGAATTTCCTATAAACAGATCAATGCCATGGGTAATTTCTGCAGCCTGGCTGTTGTCCACAGCATAGCAATATCAAGAATTAGCCATATGAGCTCTTCTGTTAAAGAAAAAAGAAATTGTGATGCTTTTTCCAAAGATCTATGACTATTACAGTGTACAGTTCAATTGTTATGCCCTTTTTTTTTTGGTACTGGGGTTCAAACTTGGGACCCTGCACTTGTGAGGCAGGCGGCAGCACCACTGAGCTAAATCCCCAGCCCATACCCATATATTTTGAAATTGTGATTTTTTTTTTTATAGTTTGACCACTTAGAATTTGGAATATGCTGAATTTATAAAATGTCATTTTTCTCAGGGTGTGGTGGTGCACACCTATAATTTCAGCACTCAGGAAGGAGACTGAGGCAGGAGAATTGCTGCAAGTTCATGGCCAGCCTAAGCAAGATAGTGAGTTGAAGGCCAGCCTGAACTGCATAGCTAGACCCTGTCTCAGAAAAAAGAACAGGACCAGGATTTCGCTCAGTAGTTCTGCCACCTGCCTCACAAGCACAAGGTCCCAAGCTCGATCCCTCGTACCAAAAAACCAAAACCAAACCAAAATACAAACAAATAAACAAAAAAAAAACCCAAAAAAACAAAGAACAACAGCAATTAAAAAAAAAAAGAGTAGTTTTTCTTGAAAAGCACTCTTTACTCTCCATCCAGCATCAGTTAGCGGAATTAGTGGTTGGGGCAAATTCTGGTGAATTCAACTAGTTGGGATGAAGTAGGATATATTCATTTTTCTTTATTTCTTTTAAAAAGACTGTACATCTATAATGGAAACAATAATTGCTAAAGTGTTGCTGAAGTTTGCTTACTGGTTATGAAAAAAAAAGATACTGCAGGGCTGGGGATTTAGTTCAGTGGTGCTGCCAACTGCCTTGCAAGTACAAGGACCCAAGTTTGATCTTTTGTACAAAAAAAAAAAAGATATCGCAAGCTTTCATTAGTTGTAACAATGCCACAATCTAATTATTCTTTCAGTTATGCTAAAATGTCAAAATTAAGAAGACTTCCATACACTAACTGCAACTTATTATCAGGATTGTAGCACAATGATAGTAAAAATCCAATAGCACTTTAAAATCTAGGAATAAGTATGTATAATCTAAAAAGTAGACAACATTTAAAGTCTACTACATTTAAAGATGGAATACCTAAAACTTTAAAAACTATTAAATCTGTTTCTATTTTTCTAATCGCGATATAAAAATACTTTATTGGTATATACAAAAATTACCTTCTGAAAGTAGCCTCTCTTAAGAGTTTTATCTCGAACTTGTCGAAAATACACATATCCATAAAAATAAGCAGGGTCTTTCTATAAAAGAAGTGACAAAATAAAAATATGTTAATATGCGTGTCTACATATATTTACATACATAGACACATACATACATACAGCCATCACTTAATATTAATACCAGGTTCCTTTATAAACCCAAATCAAGATGTGAGGAACAAAGAACAAATTATGCTTTTCTATCAACAAACCATAATCATGATAGTAGTTGCCAGATAAAAACCTGCTAATTTGCCCAAGGATGAAAGATTTATAATCTGAAAGATTTATAATCTAAAATGAGACTAAGAATCATCTAAAGTGACACTTACCCCTTACTCAGTTTAAATTCATTATTCATATCTACAGTAGTTATTGAAGTTAGAAAATAACCAAATTCTATATTTTCCTCAATGCTAAGGACTGGGAATTCAGCTCTGTGGTGCCATCACCTGCCTCGCAAGTGCAAGGTTCCAAGTCTGATCCCTAGTACCTAAATAAATAAATAAAAGACTAAAAAAAAGTACCCAATGCTATATATGTATTTTTAGTTCTACCTACAATTTTTAATTTCTCAGGGATATAAGGGGTCAAAATTTTTCCAGAGGTGTAAAAACTTTCAAGAGAGAAAATAAAAGATATTAAATGCAAATCTGAATTGTACATACTAGTCATATAAAAATAATGAAACTTTCCAAGTGTGCTTTTTTTTTTGTGTGTGTGTGTGTGTGTACTGGGGATCGAACTCAGGACCTTGAGCTTGTGAAGCAGGCAGTGAAACCACTGAACTAAATCTCCAGCCCTCTGAGTGTTTTTGTTGTTGTTGATTTTATTTTATTTTATTTTTTTGGTACCAGGGATAGAATTCCTTCTGAGTGTTTTTTAACACACAATTTGAAAACTACGGAGCTTTGAGATCTTAACAAAATAAACTTTGGCACAGTTCCTATTTGATAGGTATTCTTTAAGTAAATATTATTAGCTTCCTCCTTCAAGCAAGGTATTGTGCTAAGACAAGATAAAGAGATGCATAAACCACAATTCTTTAAGTAGATTACAATCTACACAGGGTATGAAAAGTAAAAAATTATTATTACATAATAGACGGTAAGTTCCAGGATAAAAAGCACAAATTGTTACAGGAAGACCAAGAGAAAAGTAATGACTACATGGAGGCAGCTGATTTTTAGCTGGGCACTGAAGGATGGATATGATGTATATAAACACAAAGACATTCAAGATTTAGAGGGTCAAGAGTTTGAGCAAAAACTGAAAAATAAAAGCTTTTTTAAGAAAACCCACATAGTTTCATTTGGCTAAAATAGAACACAAGTATATAAGAAAAGGTTGGAAATTGGAAAGGTAAAGGGTCTTTCTTATTTTGATAGATTCAAATAATGAAGACAAGGGAGTGGTACAATCATTAGCTCTTTATTCATTCAACAGTTGCTAATCATTTTATATTTGATTTATTTTTATACTACAGATATACTTTAGCTAGCAACACTCTGTAAGATACAGTGTGTTGGAAAAAATTGGGACATCTTTGGGCAAACTTCTGATTCTCACTAGCTCTCATTTCCCTAATCTGCAAAAGGAACTCTCTCAGAGGATTACAGGGAGGATTCATGTGGTAACATATGCTTCCTAATACATACAGTGTCTAGAACATAAAAAGTCTTAATAAATAATAGCTGTTATTTTCACTGACTGCAAGACAATGTCTAAGAGACATTCTAGAGACAGAAATTTTGCTGAAAGAAGAAGGTTCCTGCCACAAGCAGAACAGGAAGGTCAATTGTAAAAGTTGACTTCAGGTCAAAGATGTCACGTTCATTCTGGATGTGCTGACAGGATATCCGGGTTGAAATGTTCCTCATGCAGTTAGATATAAGCATAGATTACCAAGGAGAGAAACATACAGATTCTAAAATCAACTGAGTTATTAAAATTGTTTCAATAAACAGTAACTATAAACAAAGTTCATTAGCAAACAACTATATACCATCACAAAGTATAAGGATTACCACAGGGAACAACTACTCCAAATCTGGATGGTACTGACTGTTTAGCAGCACTCCACCCCCACGTCTAAACAAAGAATTATTAACAAAAGAGAATCACCTCAGCATTCTAATCCATTTCTATAATTCACAATGGCATTATAGGTTTCAAGAACAGTAACTTTACAGTCTCAGTCACTCATATGCTAAAGCCTTATCAGTTACATTTCTGAAGAAATTCAGCTATATAATAAAATAACAAAAGTAAAATATTTCTGAATGCTGTAAGAGGTAACTGAAAAATGGGTTCTAATGCAGTAAGTTCTAAGAGTTTCTTCTCATATGGAAATGTTTCTATAACTATTTTTCCAACCTTTAAGTAAACTGGTAAATCTTTGTCAAATTGATCCAGAAGACAATGCAGTGACACCCTCCTCCCAGAAGACTGTCGAAATCTAAAACAAAACTGGGTATCTCCAAGACAACCTAAAGAAAACAAAATTGAAACAAATAAGGATAGCTTAGTAAAACATTTACTTATCCAGTTTCATCAGTTTTACAGCTGAAGGAATCCTGCAAGTCATTAAACACATTCTGTCAGGTTTTAGAGAAAGAAAAAAAAAAGAGATCCTTAAAGATCAAATGCCTTTCTCAAAACCATTTTTGCTGAATAGAAGCAAAGCCAGAAGTGAAATGTGAAACTCTTTAATTTTCCAACTCCATTTGCCCTATGCAATTAAAAATTTTGGGAATCTACCTGGTATAATGCTGACTCACAAACATAATAAGGAGCAAAACAAACCAAACATCAATTCTAGTAGGTAAAATAAAAAATTTAAATCAGAAGATCAATAGTGCTGACAGTTGCATGACTGGGTCATAAAAATCTGCAGAAAAGAATGGGCACAGTGGCACAAGCGTGTAATCCCAGAATTCTGAGGGGCTAAAACAGGAGGATCGCAAGTTCAAGCCCAGCATGAGCTACTTAGCTCCTTAATGAGATCCTGCCTCAAAAGTTTAAAAAGGGTTTGATGTACAGAAGCTCAGTGCAAAGGCCCTGGGGTGGAACCTCAATGGGGGGGGAACAACCTTATGCAATCAGCAGAGTAGTTACACATGAGAGAAGAATAATGAGAAGTGGTGTGAAGAGGCTTTTGAAATGTTGGCAAAGTTCTGCTTCTTGACTTTGTATGTGTTTTATATTTCACAATGAAAAGCTCTTCGTTTATTGTGCTGAGGATTGATCACAGGGCCTTGCCCACAGTAGGCATGGGATCTACTATTGTGCTACACTCTCAGCCCAAAATGCTCTTCTAAAAAAATATAATACAAGGGCCAGATTTAGCTCAGTAGCCCCCCACACCTGCCTGGAAAGCATGAGGTCCTCAGTTCCATTCCCAGTATGGGGTCGGTGGGGGGCGGATAATACAGCTGAGTGTGGTGATGGACACCTGTAATCCCAGTATTGGGAGGCTGAACATAGAAGACTGACTGAGACCAAGTAATCAACTTACTACCTTAATCATCTGAATTTAAAACAAATTTTTAAAACTTAAGTCATTTTTGCAAATCTCTTAAAATGTAAATTTTATTTTTCCCTCATTGAGTTTATTGGTACATTTTAGGTATACAGTACAGTTACATTCATTACTGGGATCCTGTACCTTTACATGACAGGTCTTGGTTCTCATTTTTTCCCCTTGTCCCTGCCCTCCCTTCACCCCCTCCTCCCCTACCCCTTTACAAACACTTCATTTCCATTTTTAAATTTTCTCATATTTTTTTCTTTTCCCTTATTAGCTTTCCTCTATCCTTCCCACTTTCCCTACACCTTTAGCCCCTTGCTTCCTATTTCACATTGTCAATTATCTCATTAGGATCTTATGTATTGTTATAGTTTATTCACACCAGAGAAATGATTCGATATTTACACATGTGTGACTTATTTATTTCACTTAGGAGTACATCCTCAATATGTATCCATTTTCCTATGAATTAATCGAATTTCTCATTCTCTACAGGTGAGTAATATTCCATTTTATAGAAAAACCACATTAAAATGTACATTTTAATTAAATTGTCAAGTAATAACTATTAAAAAAGCTACAAAAATCCCTCTAGTAACATGTTCTTATTTCTTATCTTCAACATACAGGGTGCATTCTGTGAAGCTCCTCTCATTTTTATCATTCTGTAGGCATGTTATCTGAAAGTGTCTGAAGAACCAAGAACAAACCTAGATAAGATCATGTCCTGTGTCCTGCTGCCCACTGGAGCTGAGGTAATGGTTTGTGAATTCGTCATGGCTGCCACCAATCCTTAGCACTGTACTCATAGACAGGAAATATTCCACTGTTTTCCTAACAATTTATCCCTAACAAACATCTTAGATTCTTATTTTCAATTGACAACACAGTATTTCATTTTAAACACCAGTATTTTTGGGGGGTACCGGGGATGGAACTTGGGCCCTTGTGCTTACAAGGCAGGCAGCAGAACCACTGAGCAAAATCCCAGGCCCCAACACTAGTATCTTTTAATTGGTTCACTGCCTTAAAAATATGTATGATTTCATAACTTATAAGTCACCTAATAATATTCATATGTTCTAGTCTCTATGTTATAAAATTTTCACTTTGACATTTATCAAGACTTGCTTTATTTTTTAAAGCATTTTTGAACAGCTTTTTAAAAACATTTACAAAACTGTTTTTACTGCATGTGTTAAAAGTATGATAGACTCAATTGAATCAAACAAACAAAGGAAAGGAAACTAATTTTGAGGAAGACTTAGAAACAGGGTTTCCCTTTTCTAAGGGAATATTTACAAACGGACAAGATAAAATAGTATAACTATATCAAACTATAGAAGAGATAATCTGAAAATAATATAGAAAATAAAGTAGGTGAAAGATTTTTTTTAAATCCTATAAAATTCCATCTGTTTAAAAAACACATGAAGTAACTCGTCACTCAGATTTTTCCCAGTTCTACAGTTAGAACTAATAACATTATAATAGATATGAAATGTGCTCAATCTTTGTTATTACTTATTACTACACACATAATCACTTAATATTCATCAGGTGACATTTTAGAAAGGAAATAGAAACTTGACAATATGCTTAAAAATTCTTAAAGCAACCTAGCACAATATCTAAATGTAATTATAGTTACTAATATTTCTTTGGTGGTAGAGAAGAAATAAAGGAGACTGAAGGCTGAATTGATTCAGTTTCTTCACTTGTTCAAGCAAATAGTTTTAAAAATATTACAAGCACACAAAACCTGAGAAAATGGGAAATACTTTGTGATGTGGGTCAAGTATTATTTTAGCTTGACATATATATGTATGTAAGTATATGTGTGTGTGTGTGTGTGTGTGTGTGTGTGTGTATACATACATACATACATACATTTATGGTTCAGTTTTCCTCTTTGGAAGGCATTTAAATCTTTAAAAGACAAAAAAAGAGAAGTACACACTAATTTCTCTGAAACTCTTAGCAAGATAGAAGTATCAAAACCTAAAAGTAGAGTTCAAGCTTCACCTAGGATACACAGTGAGAGCCTGTCTCAAACAAAAACATAAGAATCAAGATACATCATGTAAAGGTACAAGATCCCAATGATTAATGTAACTATACTGTATACCTGAAAAGTATCGATAAACTTAATGAGAAAAAAAACCCTAAAACTATAAAATTCATAGAAGAAACATCAGGAAAAACCTTATCTGGCCTTGACAACTATTTTTTTTTTTGAGACAAGGTCTCACTTGCTAGGTTCAAGCTATGCCTTGAACTCATTATGTAGTCCAGGCTGGCCTGGAACTTAGAGTAATCCTCCTGTCTCAGCCTCCACAGTGCCAAGACCGCAGGCATGCACCACGATGTCTGGCATGGCAAATATTTCTTGGGCATGACCCCAAAGGCACAGGCAACATAAGTAATAATTGACAAATGGGACACCAAACTCACAGATGTTTGCACAAGCAAGCAAGCAATGAATATAATGAAAAGGCAACCTACAAAACAGGAGAGAATATTTGCAAATCATGTATCTGAAAAATGGTTAATATCCAGAATATAAAAATAACTTCAACTCATTAACAACAACCACAACTTAAACAATCCAATGCAAAAATAGAAGGACTTGAATAGGTATTTCTCCAAAGAAATACAAATGAACAACAGGCGTATGAAAAGATGCTCAGTGTTCCTCTTCATTTGGGAAATGCACATCAAAACCACAATTGAGGTATCACTTCATACCTGTTAGGATGACAGTTATCAAAAGAAGAAAGAAAAGAAGTGGACAAATATTGCAGAGGATGTGTAGAAGCTAATTCCTGTATACTATTAGAATATTCTATTATGTTAGAATATAAAATAACTGCACATGAGTATATATTTGCAAAATAATTGAAAATAAGGTCTCTAAGAGGTATTTATATAGCCATATTCATTGCAGTATTATTCATAATGGCCAAAAGGTAGATTCATCCATCAGTTGAAGAACAAAGACAGAAAATATGGTATGTGCATATAATGGAATTATTACCTAGCCTTAAAAGGGGAGAAAATACTGTCTATGTACAATATGGATAAACCTTAATGATATTAAGCTAAGTGAAGTAGAAAAAAAACCAAAAATACTAATATAACATGATTCTACTTATTCAACGGAGGTAAGAATAAAATTCTCAGGAAGTAGAATGGTGGCTGCAGGGGTCTGGGAGGAGGAAGAAAAGGGAAGTTGTTGTTAATGGATAGAGAATTTTAGTTTTCCAAGATGAAAAAGTTCTAGAGAGCTATTGCATAACAATATGCATATAGTTTATACTCCTCTATTTGTACACTTGAAAATGGTTAAGATGATTAATTTTATGTTTTGTTTTTATGGTACTGGGAATTGAACCCAAGGCTTTCTTACTGAGCTACATCTAATATTCAATTTTTTTTTCTTCTTTTTTTGGTTTTTTGAGACAGGTTCTTGCTATGCAGTTCGAGCTGGCCTAAAACTCGCTATGTAGCCTAGGCTGACCTCAAACTCACAGCTACCCACCTGCCTCAGCCTTACAAGTACTGATTACAGATGTATGCCACCATGCCTGGCTCACCCCTTTTTATTTTGAAACAAGGTCTCACTAAGTAATGCAGACTGGATTTGAACCTTCAGTCCGTCTATCTTAGTCATCCAGAGGGCTGGGATTACAAGAATGAGCCTCCAATCCTGGTTTATTTATGGTTTGACAATAATAATAATAATAATAGTAATAATAATAAAGAAATCACTTAAACTATCAACAAAAGCTAGGGGTGCTATTAGATGATCTCTAGAGTCACACTCAGCAGTAACAAAGATTATAAAATAAAATTCCACAACTGAGCTGTGATGGTACTTAATTTTAAGCATCTCATCTAATATGCTCACTAAGAAAACAAAGGACCAGTAAAGCCCCCAAAGGATCTAAAAGTTCTGCT